AGCCGAAACCGAAAGAACCAAAGCCCACTCTGGATGTAGCAAGCAGATGGCTCATTTAATGACCAGTTCCTTGTTTCTTTCTTGCTCTCACGCAGGCCCGGAGGCTGTTTGATGTCCTACATGAGCCCTTCTTGAAAGTGCCCCGATGACCCCAGCCGCCAGAGAGGCCCTCGTTGTAACAATAAAGCATTTTCCAGGCTCGGGCTGCTTCTGGTGCGGCGGCGCCGTCATCGGGAAGGGGTTCTCTGTTCTCGCTCTCTGCTGGCCCAGGCGGTCACCTCCAGCTTTTCTTTTCGTTTCTTCCCCTTTCTTTTCCTTTCTCTTTCTTTTTTTTTTTGTGTTTTAAAGTGTATTTATTTTGAGGGAGAGGAGACAGAGAACCCCAAGCAGGCTCCACACTGTCGGCACACAGCCTGATGCGGCGCTCGATCTCCTGAAACGCGAGATCGTGACCTGAGCGGAAATCAAGAGTCTCAACCGACTGAGCCGCCCGGGCGCCCCTCCAGCTTTTCTTGACCACAGTCAGTTTCCCTGGAGGAGGCTACACAGGATCCGGCTGCAGCCTCTTCGACTTCTTCTCCCGGCCTGTGGAAGCCACCTCCCCAGCCTTTGGACTCCGCGGCGGCTCTGGCATCTCCTCCCGGGGTGCTGCCTCTGGCACCCCGCTTTCCCGGCCCCGTTTCTTCTTCTTCTTCTTCTTCTTAGCAGATGCTGGATCTGCCCCTGCCTCAGGTTCACGCTCTTCCGGAAGCTCAGGCTCCATCGGCTCACCCTGTGGGTCCGTTACCTCAGTCCTCGGCTCAGTTGCTCCGAGCCCCTGTTCTTTCTTCTTCTTCTTGGTGGATGCCCGACCCTCAAGGTCACCTGGCAACTCAGGCTCCACCGGAGGCTCCACTGCCTCTGCCCCTGGCTCCACTGTCTCGTCTTGCCGTTTTTCTTTCTTCCTCCTCTTTTTGGCGGGTGTTAGAGCTGCCTCAGCCTGAAGCTCAACTTCTTGTGGTGGTTCGGGCTCTGTCATCTCCCCTGGGAGTTCCAGAGGCCTCCTCTCCAGCTCTAGAGCCTCATCAGTCCCCGCCTCCATCATGACTTTGTGCCCCTTTTCTTTCTTCTTCTTCTTCTTCGAAGATGGCAGTGGGACGGCTTCCTCCTGTGGCTCCTCCTCCAACTGAGGCTGAGACTCAATCAGCATCCTTTCCCCAGGCTCCCTCTCTTCTGTCCCCTTCAGCCTCTTCCTCTTCCTGGTGGTGGATGACGGGAACAGCGCTTCCAGAGGCTCCAGCATCTCGGCCGCAGGTTCGGCTGTCACCAGCTCCATCACCTCGAGTTCTGGCGGCTCCTGCTTTTTCTTCTTCTTCTTCGCCACATCCGGGGACCCCAAAGCTGTGTCCCCCGCCAGGGACCCCAGCCCATTCACTGCCTCCCGGGGAGCTGGGGCCTCTGGTATTTGCCTCTTCTTTTTCCTCTTTTTTGAGGCGGGTGACTTCAGTGCCAAGGCTGACCCAGGCCCTGTTACCGGTAGGCTGCCTCCAAAGGCACAGAACCGGGGCCTCAGGTCAGGGGGGATCTGTGGCGGGGGGCTTGTTGGAATAGGCTGCAGCAGGGTCCCTGGTGGGGATTCCTGGGAACCCTCAAAGATCCTCAGGCTGCCCTGGGGGGCTGGGGCACAGGTGAGTCCCCCCCCTGCCGCCACGGAGGGAGCCAGCAGGATTGCTCCTCCAGCCTGGGGACCGCTGCTTCTGAGGACCCGGTAGCGGTGCCGCTTGCCTGCCAACTTGCCCTTCACAATCTGGGAGCCAGAGAGAGGCACTAGCCGCCCGTTGAGGCTGCAAGGAGAAAGGGGAAGGCAGGAGCTCCATCAGATTCTTTCCGTGAAACGGGGGGGAAAAGAGCTGAAAACCGCGTTTCTGGATGCCTAAGAAAAGCCCCTCTAAACTTCCCCCAAGTTCATCCACTAGGATGGAGCATATTCCCAGGAGGTGGCCTGGGACCACTCACCAGTCTGGGGCGAAGTCTACAGGGGCCTGGATAAGCCACAGTTCCGTATCTGGGTCTGTTAACACTTCCAAAGAGAAACGGGTGGGCTCTGAGGTTGGGGACGTCGCGGTAAAGTTGGGGGGACAAGAGAACTGAGCAGCACCTGCATAAGGGGAAATGGAGGTCTGCTGACACTTCCCGTGAATCCAATTCTCTATGGGGCCCACTGGCCCCAGCCTCTTGAGCGCCTCAACCCCTCACCCGGTCTGTTCTCTGCCTGCTTCCCAGAGGCATCCCTGTCTCCACCGATCCAAGGTAGTTTCCCCCACCCCATACGCTCCCTCGGTCTGAAGTCCCTTCCTCGCGGGCGACACACTCTCCACAGGTCCTGTCTCGAGGATGTCCCTTTTTCCGTCCGAACGCTCCTGGGCGCCCCGTTCTCCTCCCGGCAGCCAACTCTCTGCACCCCGTCGTCCCGCCCTGATGCAACTCACCGCCGGACGGGGTCCCCGCCATCCCGGGACCCGTGCCTCCCTCAGACCCAGCCGCCGGAGCCTCAGGAGCTCCGTGGACGACCACGTGGAACCAGAGGGGCGGGGCCTCGCCCGGGAGCGCCCATGTGGCGCGGGAGCGCGGGGGTGTCGCTCGGAGTACGCTCTCTTTACGAGCAGAACTGGGGGGAGTTTCCGCTTGCGCAGAGCAGACAGCCGAGGAAGACGTTCTTTTCCCGAAAATCTGCTCCCGAAAACAGCTGCTTGGCTCCTGGGCGGGAGTTAGCGCCTCATCAGGTCTCGGCGCATATCCCCCTCCATGTCTCGGACTTTAATTGCGCCAACGTCGCCTTAAAGGGGCAGCCACATTGGTAGCTTCTAACTCTTAAAGAGACAGGAAGGTCGAGTGGTCTGAGATTCTTAAAGAGACAGGTAAGAGTGTAGGTTGGCAGGGCTGTGCTTTCAGTGTCACAATCCCTTCTCGGGAGGCCCAGATGCCTGGGAAATTCGGAACTTGAGTGGGACAGGTGGGAAAATGGAGAAATGGTGTAATTCCTCCGGAGGGCGTTGAAGTACCAGCCAGGGGCGGGGCTTCTGGACTCCTAGGGCGCGGGAAACCTAGAGGGAGGAGCCTGTGGGCTCCGAGGCGGGGCTTCCAGACGAGCTAATCACGCGTGGGGCGGTGCGGACTAAAGGGCAGGGTTTGTGGATCAAATGAGACGTATAGATGCCCCCGAGAATTTAGTCTAGTGCGTGGGGGACCCTCCTGTAAGGCTTTGAGGAAGAGAGAGGGAGTAGAAGGCTTGAGCAGCGCCCTTTCTCTGCCGGGGGGCGCGTGTAAACAGCGGCACGCGGCCGCGGATTTGGGGGTCGCATCCACGCCCCTTTGCACAGGGACCACACCGCTTGGGGCGGCGGGCGGAGCCGCGGGACGGCGGCTAGACAGGGTGACCCGACTGCATTCCTGGCCAGTGTGTCAGAGCCACTTCCCGCCCCCTCTGCCGTGATTTCGGATCCTATTCCACAATTGGGGCGTCCCTCCTTCTCTGGGTGTGAGCGGCTTCTCAGAGCGAAGGGAGGGTCAGGGGAAGGGAACGCGTTCCCTCAGCCCGGGATCACCAGACAGTTTCCCCAGCGTGGGCGAGACTCTGGGACTGCGGGCTCGGGACTACAATTCCCAGAGGGCGCAAGGAGGGGAGACGCCCGATGTCCATCGTGGAAGCTGCTGGGGATTGTAGTCCCAGCCTAAGACTTTGGACTCTTGCTAGGAAATTGTATAAAGATCCAACCCATCCTTTTTACCGACGGGGAGATTGAGATTCAGAGACTCGAGGGGATACTGATTTAGCGAGGGTGTCTTCTCGACTTAGGGGCGGGGCATGTGAGTCTCCCCCAACCTCCAACCTTCTAACCCTTTAGTGGCGTCCAAATCTTTCTAGGAGGGGGAAACTAAGCCTGGAGGGGTGGGACAGGGACTCAGGAGTCTGCCTCCTGCAGCCCCGGCGAGATTAAAGTCTGAATTCTATCTGCGTGGCCACATAGACCTCGGCTTCTGGACCTCGCCCTTCCTGTCTGTGAAATGGACTTTGGGTGATTCCCAATGGGAACGTCTCGAGAAGTCGGCCTACTGCCCCTGCAGGACTACAAGTCCCAAGGTGCTCGAGGCGACCCCTACTCCCCCTCCTCTCTGGGACCCGCCTCCCGTCTGCCGGAGTCACGTCGTCTAACCTGTTCCCGGCGCCTGCCCCGCCCCGTCCTCCGCTCCCCGCAGCCGGAGCCGGAGCCGGAGGAAGTCCCCCGGTGCCAGGATTTGCCCCGGATCCGTGAGTTCCACCCACCCCTGGGGTCCAGCGGCTCGGGGGGAGCCCGACACCGCGTCCCTGGGAGGACTGGGAGGGGACTCGGACACCGATTCCCAGGGCGGAATTGGGCGTTCGCAGATGCCAGGGTCCTTCGAAGGAAAGAACTCATACTCACTGAGCAGAAGGAAAGGGGACCCTGATGCCTGAGTT